GTCTCAAGCAACCCAATTAGAGACTCAAGCACAAAGGATGGGAGCACTAGAAGAAAAAGTGGAAGCACTTCTCAAGTTATCTCAGCAGGTTGTACGTAGTTACATTTATATATACTATAATAATATAAGTTCATATCTAATTAAATGTAGAATAACTTTCGTAATTTTTGTATCATTTACAGAGTGTAGACGACAGGAATTCAAATGTCTTTACTCCTCAGGTTTTTGTATCACACATTCTTAAATGTTTATTCAGCATATATTCATTTTGTAGCATTCTAATTATTTAAAAAAATATGTTCTTTCTACTATGAATTTGTAGTCACACCAAGGAAGTACCGTACCTATGATAAATGCAAGATGTCAACTGCTGCATTGGTACGTATTTGAAGAGGAAGAAGTCGTAGCAGAAGGGAAGATTGCATCAACAGACCCAACTGCAAAGGTGCATCACTTGCCACTCGGTCGAGACTGTTGGAAGGTGTGGGTTGATGAAGTGTATATGAGCAATTTGCCTTTATACAGACCTACAGATGAATTCCGAACTCTTAGTGAAGCAATTGGAAGTACTGTTGCTTGGCCAAAGAGCAGCATTAGACTTTTTTGAGTAAGGTATGTTTAAACAATTTGAATAGATACTTTGTTGAATAGAGACATGATTAATTTTAAATTTCTTACCAAGACAATGATTAGTTGGTGTGGTTTTTAATGATAACATGATTGGTGCAAGAACTTGGGTCTTGAAGAAGGCATGTTGGTGTGGTTTTTGAACATTAGTATTAAATCAGGAAGGATTAGGTAATTCTCTTTTTTTTCAAAGTGCACGACTCTTTTTACTGGCTTTGAATTTGGTGTCGGGTGTGGATGATAATGTTGACAATGTGAGGTGTTGTTTGTGGATGCTTGTGACCTTTGTTGTGTTCAGAGATTTCTCTCTTGTGCGTGCTTTTTGTGCATGTTGTCTATGTTAGGGCTTCTTGCATACCAGTATTCCTCTTCTTACGTATATCAAGTAACACTACATGGACGTCATTCTAATCAAGATGACAATTGGAGTGGCTAGAAGGAGGGAGGTTTTTACTACTTGGAGTTAAAATAATGGTATAGCAACGGTTTTTAAGTAGTGGGTCATTCTATACATCACTATCCAAGTCGAGCATGTATCTATGCATCTACTTGAGGTGGAGAATTGGAATAGGATATTATTTTTATTTTAAATTAGGAATTAATACAGTGGTAAGAATATTGTGTTTCCCTTCTGGCCTTAGGTTAGGTTTCTTCCCTTTCATTGATGCGATTGGACCATTGTATATATGTGTCGTCGTCTATGAATAAAATATTGTATATAGGTGTCGTTTTCTATGAATAAAATTCAGTTCAACCTTAAATTTCTTGCCTTGTCTTGTCTTGTCTTTCCTTTCCATTTCTGTTGTTTTAATTTTTTCTTTGTGATGGATTTTGAGTAAGGAAGTTTTGATTTACTTGGATGGCTAATTATTTGAATGGGCAAAATTTATTACAGGTTTGTGTTGGGAAGCATAGATGTTCGGTTCCCACGTCGACAACAAAACTAGGAGATCCGTGTCCTAGTGTGATGAAAAGCTTGGCAATTGAAGCTCTTTGTAGTGGTTGAAATAAGTTCTTCCTAGTAATTGAACGATGGGAAAGATGTTATTGATGCTAGGTTGATATTTAAAAACATGTATAAGTGAATATTGTACAATGTATATTATGCTAGCATGGTTTAATTTCAATGCAATTTGTTTTTCCATTGTAATTATGATTTCTTATATTTATTTTGATCTCTCTTCATATATTAGGTATTTAATCCAAGGCTACAGGTCGCATTAATTGAAAAACAGATTAAAAAGACAATTGCCAAACGAAAGGAAGAAGAGATACGGCAACGTTTAAAAAAGTTACGAAAGGGAGCTTTAGCAACGTTTAAAAAACGTTGCGGATGGGAGCTTTCGCAAAGCTCTCATCCGCAACGTTTTTTAAACGTTGCCGTATCTCTTTCCTTAACGGCAACACTGCTCACTGCAACACACGCTGAAACGCTGCAAATGACTTTTGGCAACGTTTTTTGGCCGTTGCGAAAGGTGATTTTTGGTGTAGTGTACCCCATATGAATGCATTTTCCATGAAATTGACAAAAAACAAGCTTAAAATGGTTGTACCTTGGAATTCGAACTCTATTTCCACTTTCGTATCAAACAGTCAAAGTAGAAATTGAATTCCTCATATGTGACATTTTCCATGGAATTTAAACCAATCAAACAGACCCCTAATGCCGACCTTAATTAGAATTCGATACCCTAATTCTAACAAACTCCACGTTAACAGAATTCCATTGCAATAAGTACATTTTAAAGATTTTCCATCTAGAGACAAACTCCACTACAAGGAATGAATTTCAACTCTTCAACAAAAAAACACAAACGAACTTCTCCATCAAAATTTCCAAATTGGAAATATTCTTCACTTGTACCACATAATCCACTTAGGTTCAAACTGAAAAAACCTGAGGAATCAAAATTCCAAGAACACCATTGGACACCAAAGATGCTTGACTCACGAGCAACAAAATCTAACGTGATTAACAATCACCAAACAAGGCTGAAACAATCCCTATAACAGAATCACCTTGAAATGATTCAATTGAAGGATATTTGCTAAAATTACCACCTTTAACCATGAATGAAGTAGAATTAACTAAACCAACATCTTTGTACATATGTGGAGGCATATTCTCAAAAACGGGTTTGTTTCTAGAAATTGAATACAATGGCACCATGGTAATAGTGGCAACGTGGAATTATCCATAACTTTCGAACTTGATTTAAACACATTCATCAAAGTAGACCCCCAAACGAAACTTCGACGGTATTGAACCAATCTCAAAATCCACCTAATTCCTTAAACTATGCTGATCCACCAAAGTTTCCGTAGAATCTTGCAAGAATATAAATTGGGACTTTTTCCGTCCCTCAACACAATATGAGCACCTCTACAAACTTTCACGACTCCACCTGTACCCTTTCAAGCCAAAGAGTATTTAATGAAATAATATTTTTCTTCAAATCAGAAACATGCTGCAATACATGAAGTGTTTTGACACTTTCATCAATCAACTTAATTCTGACCCTTCCTATACCAACTATATGTCAATGTGTATTATTATTGATCACAACACTTTTGGAAACTTTTTCATATGTTGGAAACGAATTCTGATCGTGACACATATGAAAAGTGTAAGCCGTATTAAGAATCCAATCCCCTTCAGGTTTGGAATCATCGTCAGAAATCACCAAAAGATCTCCATCATTGTGAAACATTTCTCCAACACTGACTTTACCCGAAGTATCTAATTTCTTTCCCTTTTAATTAGCTATAGGTAATTTTTCTTTATTCTACAACTCATAGCAATCACTAACCAAGTGTCCCTTCCTCTTACAATAATTACAAATTTTATTTGTGAAGTTAGACCTTAATTTGTCCCTTCCAGAACCACCATCAACAATAAAGCCATCTCCATGAGCCTCAGTTCCAACGAGATGCTTCATCTTTTTCTTCGAATATAGAGTAACATAAACTTTTTCGATAGTGAGAGTATCACGACTATATAAAATTGTATTTTTAAATGATATATATGAAGTGGGCAACGAACACAGAAGAATCAAACCCAAATATTCTTTATCATATTTAACGTTCAAGATTTTCAAATCAACAATAATTTCCTTAAACATAGTTAGGTGATTTTCAAGAGATGTACCTTCTGTCATACGATGAGAGTAAATGCGCTACTTCAATTGCAGTTTGGTAGTAAGACTCTCGTCATGCGCATTGCTCTTATTTTAATCATAATGCAGCGACAGATGAAGATGAATTTGTGATAGGGCCTTCCGACCCTACGTTTTTTTCTCCTCCTATTGTGAGTATTATGTCAAATCCTAACAAAACATCAAATAAAATAATTGGGCGAGGAATTGAGATTTCACTAAAATATGGATAAAGAATTACAATGATTTTGTGTTTTTGATTTGTCTAACTTAATCTAAATATAATGAAGAGCTAAATATATATAGTGAACAAATAGGGGACGTCCAAATCCTTATCTTGGTGTTGTAGTTGAAATAGAATGCAAAAATAAGCATCGAAAACGGATTGGGAGAGAAAAACCAGCACAAGTGATAATGCTCCTTTGATGCTTTTTCTTCATTCTTTTATTCATATCTTGATCTCTTCAAGTCTAAAACAAAAGTCTCAACTCCCAATAAGACTTTCAAATAGAACTTCAACTAGAATTTATCGAATAGACTTCGAATATGATTTCAAAAGCATTCCAACAAATAGAATTCCTCTTAATGTCATTCTTAATTAAAATTCTCAATCATCTTCAAAATAGAATTCAGGTCACACTCTAATTCTAACATTATAATTTTGTGGAATAATTTTATTGATACCCCAAAGGAAAAACTGGAGATGAGCATGCCAATGTTACCTCTAGAATAAAAAGGGATTATAAACATGGAAGTACTATTAGTTAGTGGTAAGCCCTAATCTCAAATCCAAATCATACGCCCTCATTTGATTCAACTAAAAATGTTTCATAAAAATCTAAGTCAAAGTTAAAAATTAATTTTTTTTATGGAATCCAACTTTTCAACGACACACTCCATCAAAATCCAAATATGATTTTTATCTGAACCAAAAAGGAGCTAAACCTCAAGCAAGACCTAAGATTAATACCGAAGAATTAAGGACTCTATACAGTCCATCACGTCTCCCACTATAGGACCGATGGGATTGTTTTCACACATCTTTTATGTATCAGTGACAGTCACTTTCAATCCTTGGTAGGTCTTTTGCGAGTAGGGTTTTCCACAAAGATGACAATGTCCTATTACCTCCTTTTGATGTTTGTTGCTTGATAATGTTTTGCTTTTTCCTTAGTGGGTTATAGAAATATGAAGTTGCTTTGATCATTTTGTCCTTTCATCTTGTTTTGTCTACAATAATTTGTCTTAAAGGTATACCTACCGTTACTAAAAAAAAAAAAAATCTAAGCTTTAGCTTTCCTAATGGAAAAATCAATTAGCCCTCATGTTTCCACAACTTTTCATACTCTTTGTCCTCTCTCACCCATTGATTGATTGATGGAAATTCCTCTTTTAAGTTTCAGTTCTCTCTCACTTCTTTTCATGCATGATAGAGCTAAATAGTTGTTGGGAGTGAATTTGAGGAAGAAGAGGATTGTCTCTAATATGTAATCTATTACACAAAACAAGAAAGTGTAATCTCACTGAACAAAAGACTATTGTGTGCAAGTTGGATTGTCATTTATAAAAAATTCTTGCACATACATTTTACTTGCAAGACTTGAACTCTTTAACTATTTTCCAAGTCCAGTGCAATATTTAAATGGTGAGATGAATATGATATGATGAATTCCCTATAAAATTTATTTACTTTATTTGCATCAATTTTATAATTTTAAGTTGCATGCACCAAAAAAGGACCTGCAGGACTGCTTCCACAAACACCAAAATTTTCAACTAGTTCAAAATGGAATTTCCCTAATTAATTAACTTGGTGCCTATATAAATTTGCTTTCACTTTTTTTTTTCCAATATTTAACTTGGTGCCAATATTTAAGTATAATTTCCTTTAAAAAAACTCTAGGATCATATAGGATTTTGATTCAAATGATACAGTAGAAATGGCCAAAATACAAATGAAATTGGGGCCTGAATGTTGGGAGAAAATTAAAGATAAAAAGCAGTAGAAAAAAGCACTACTATTTTCTATTACGTCAATCAATCTCTTTTGTGTTGGTCGTGCTTTAAAGAAAGCTTTCTTTTGAATTAAAAATAATTTCATATAAAGTAGCAATATTTGTGTAACATCTTCATTTTCTGGTTAATCGAGAACAGTTATGAAAATATATTGCTTGGTTCAAACTTTGTATAATTAATCTTTATATCTTAGACTAAAAATGCAAAAAGTTTTCTTTTATTTACATATCAAAGTAATTAAACACACAATATGACAACATAATGGAAAAAATAATGGACTTGAAATACTTACCAATTTATACTCAACTTTATCAAATCCCAAAATAACGCAACTTAGTAAAGACCTCTCAACCAACTAAAGTCGAATTAAAAGTTCGACAAAAACACTAAAACGTAACTTAGTCGAGATTGTTTGACTAGGGCCGGGTTCACTTTTCTATTCAATATAACTTTCAAGTTCTTTGTTCAATCCGACCATATATTGGAGTGGCATCAAGTTCGATTCTTCCCATCCAATTCAATCCTAACTGAGCCTAGTTGAGATTGCTCTATTAGGGTCTAGTTTGAACGTTTCACAAGGAATTTGGCATCATATATATTAAGGGTAAAGGTGTCGTTAGAGCATTAAAACTTTTAATTAAAAAAATGAAATTTGAATTTGTTTGAAGCCTAGCATTTAGTTATTTGGTAAGTCTAGCACTAAATATATTGACAGAATTCTTGTGTAGCAAACTATAAAAAGACAATATAATTAAGTAGTTAGAAAAAGTGCAAGAATAAGCAAATTAAACTTTCTGGTTGTAGCAAGAAATTCAGGCTTTATTTGAATCCCTTT